GCCGGAGCAGTTCATGAAAAGCTGCAGCCCATTGGAAGGAGTTGGAAAAGTTTGTGGAGGACTATTTCCCGTGGAAGGGATCCCATACTGGAGCAGGGGAGGCATGTGAGGTGTCCTCCCCCTGAGGAGGAAGGAGCAGCAGAGACACCATGTGATGAACCGACAATAAGCCCAATTCCCTGTCCCCATGTCACTGGAGGGGAAGGAAGTAGAGAAAATCAGAAGTAAAATTAAGCCCAGGAAGAAGGGAGGGATGACAGGAAGGTGTTTTAAGATTTGGGTTTATTTCTCATTATCCTACTCTGATTTGATTGGTAATAAATTAATTTTCCCTAAATCAAGTCTGTTTTGTCAGTGATAGTAATTGGTGAATGATCTCTCCCTGTCCTTTCCTCGACCCATGAGCCTTTTGTTGTATTTTCTGTCTCCTGTGCATTTGAGGAGGGGAGTGGTGGAACAGCTTTGGTGGGCACCTGGCGTCCAGCCAGGGTCAATCCACTGCAACACCCCTGAAAAAGTAAAAGAAATTCTGCAAGGAGCTCAAAACCAAAAAAAGAAAGTAGTTAAAAATGAAGCAGATGTCTCTTAGATGTCCTTGTCACTTTGTCACTTTGAGTACCTGGGCAGGAGCGTACCTAATCCTCCCATTTGTAGTCCTCCTGCTGCAGCAGACTTTTTTCTATATTACACCAATTATCCTTCCACCTCCTTTTTCTTCTTTTTTTTTTTCCTTTGCATCTCCTTAGGTTTTGCAGAGTCTCAAAGTTTTTCAGGTAGCTCTAGATCTGCCATTGACTTGAACGTTGATATAGGAGAGCTGGTTTTAGCTGAGTCTGCCCAAGAGGGCAGAAATTATTTTATGTTTTTTTAAATTATTTTTTCAAATGATCCTGCAGTAAAGGAGAAATGGAAAAATGCCTCATAAACAATTATTGCGCTTTTTGCCAACTTTGACATATTGTTACATTGAGTAAAGGGGTTTTTTAGACATTTCTGAAAATTGCTATTCACTCTAGTACCTTACTGAATTAAGACCTGCAGTGTAGGTTAACTGAAAGCTAAATACACCACATCTGCTCAGCTGATGTATTTCAACATATAAACATTGATCATTGGCCATTGTAGAGCAGTATTTTAGTGATTAGACAGCTGAGAATCTGATCAACTTTTTTAGCTTTGAAAAGAAGAAAAATAAAATAAAATAAAATTTAAAAAAAACAAAACAAAAACAAACAAACCTCAAACCACCCAAACAAAACTAAAAACATGTAATTAAAAAATTGCAAGCACTTAGAAGTCCACTGGTGTATGCAAATGGGACACTCCTGGCTGGTGTCTTTCAGATGTGCCCAGCAAAGCATGGGTGGGATGGCGTTTATTAACAGGGGAGAAGAGAATATAGGCTTGGGGAGGCAGGCAGTGGTCTGAAGTCTGTTAAGAAGCAATCTTTCTGTTAGTAGGTGTAGAAGCCTGAACTTCTAGAGCAATATGAACTGGATGGGTTTTGTTTTTTTTTAAATCCTATGGCCTCTTGCCCACACCCTCCCCCTCCCAAAGTCAAGCAGGCTAGTTGTGATGGTTGGTGTTAGAGCCCATCCAAGAACTACAAGAGCAGCGAGAGCTGGCAGTTGTTCTCGACAATAACAACCAAATGAGTTGTTGTAAGCCAAGGAAGGCATGATGGGAAGTCAAAAATGAAGTAAACAGTAGCTTTCCCACAGTGCGGAGGGAAAAAAAAACCTTGGGGCAGCTAAGCTTTTCTCGTGGCATTTTGTGGAGCTGCATCCAAATAAAGACTTGGTGTTTGAATTTAAAGATGGGTAGTTACAATGCGTGTCAAACAGAAAGACCATTAGTCCATATCATTGCTTTTGGGGGGTGTTACATTAAACACATCCTTGGGCAGTACAACTCCAGCCATGACGTGCAGGGACACTATCTTGGTTTGGCTTGTGGCAATCCCAAATGGCAGTTAAAATGCAAAACCAAATAATAGAGATCATAGAAGAAAGGATGGTAGCAAATAGTGTTACTTGATAGGCAAACATATAAAAATATCATGGAAGTTTAGAAACTCTAGATATTGAAGAAAGCCTTAAGGCATTAAATCAATGTGTATAGTAGTATGCATTGGTGAGACTGGGAAAAATCAAGCTCAAGTTAATTTAGGCTGTCTAAGTGTATGTTTAGGGAGATGTAACTTTGGCTTGGTGGGTGGGAAAATTACACAAGAGAGTCTTTCTCTTTTAGTAAGAGTGGTGGACCTTATTACAGAAAAAGCATCTGTTCATAGAAAAATACAAAAACATTCGATGTTATTCATGGCAAAGTTTCATTTCTGTTATCTTCTCTCAAGATCTTTTTCTAAACCAAACTTATTTCGTTCTCTATTCTTTAATAATTCTTTAATTCTTTTAAGTCTTTGTAACCTGTTCTGGTATAGAAATATGAAGCAATTCATTGAACTTTTTCTTTGAGTAAAATTATTTGTATTAAATATTTTGTTTTAATATATGCTTCACAAGATGTAAATGGGACTACCAGTCTATTCAAAGTACATACAAATCATACTTTAGGTGTTTTGTTGACATTAATGTCTAAAACTACATGAATGTTAAGGAAAATGCACTTGTGAATGTATGTTTAAAATATGGATTGTATGCTGTGTCTCTCAGTCTGACACTTCTTTCAGACAGGTGTAACAAAGGCTTATTCAAGTGAAATGTTTAAATGATATGGTTTTTCCTTCTTTCCTCTGCTTTTCACTGTATTGATACCATTGCTTTGTGGGACAGTGCTTTAGGTGCATAAAATAAGTCATCAACTGCTGAAAGATACAATAGCAAGTATCGTTAAATTTTATGTAAGAAACGTACCTTTTTAATTCTAGATTTCTTTATTTTGAGGGGGTTTTTTGTTGCTAAAACCTTTCTTGACTACATTTCAGACAAGGTAGCAAGTATCTCTAAATGGAAGGTAATTTTTAATTTTTTTATTTCAGAAAGTGTATGCTACAATTTAATAGCTGTGTTGTTCATAAAAATGTTTAGCAGGTAAAAGTATGTTGAGCACTAAGGGAAAACTCATTTAATAACTTTAATTTAAATAAAACATTATGTACTTTTGCAAAGGGTTTTTTTTTTTGAGTATTAAGTGTACTTAGAATGTCTAATCCTCTAAAACTTCCCTCATAAAAATAGACTTTAATGTAAGTAGTTTTTATTTCAACTTAAATGGCATATCTAGGTGCAAGAGCTGAGGTTTCATAGGCCTGTCTTTGTTTTACTAGCTTCTGTTACAAGGTCTTGATCTTTACTAAAGTTAAGAGCTCATCACATCTGTCCGTGAGTCAAATCTGCAAAGTTGCTTAAGTATCCTGTTTCCTGCTTTGTATACCTACTACTTGAAACCTTCTTCACAGTCTTTTTACTATATTCATTTTTGTTGACCGGGGAGTAACCTGTATATTCAGTTAAAACATTGTTAAAAATAAATAAAATCTCTGAGTTTGGTGCTCTGACAATTAACATGGGCTATATCGTACTTTAAGAAATCCCTTCACAGACTTACTGAGATTCATATCACTATCAGAAATTATTGGCTCATTTTGTGTGATTGTTATGTGAGTAGCTAAATTGGAGAAACAAAAAAAAACTCTTGGTAAATGTTCCTGTTTAATATTGCATCTCAGAAGTGTTTAGGCTACATGAGATAATTGTAGTTATTTTTTTTCCTGTAGTACTTACTGTGGAGAATTTAACTGGACAACTTAATGAAAAATATTTTGTTGTTGCAGATGAGCTTTTATGAATATAAAACTCAGGAAATTCAAGATTGTGGTTCCCACAGCAACCATGACTTGTTTCTTGGCTTCTCTTTAGGGTTTAGAATTACTGGGCTAAATGCTGTTCCCAGTCCCCCTGACTTTTCCCATGTTGATGTGAAAGCTGAGATGAGAACTTGGCTCAGGGTTTGTGGTAACTTTTTTGTCTGAATATGTTTCTATTTCCAATTTGTCCAAGATATAATTGTGTGGAATAATTATTCCATCTTTTTCTTCTTTAAAATATTTTTTCAAGACTAACCATTTTCCATCATTTGTTAAAACTTACGTGGTCCAACGTTGTACAGACGTTAGCCCTCATTTACTCCTGCTGGGTGTATATGGTAAGTGTTGTCATGATGTGAAAGGAAATTAAATGTCTGGGAAAAAGTCTCCCTTCTGATAGAGGATGTAGAGTGACTCAGAGACTTGAATCCTCCTAACTTGCCTGCAGTGATGATGCAGGAGGAAGTTTAATCTGTGAGCGTGGGTCTTAGTAAGCTTTGAGGAAGGTCCTCAGTCACCTGCAGCTATCTTAGGACACTCAACTAAGTTTTATAAAAACTTTTGTTGAGCAGTGAAAAACAAATCCAGTGAAGAGGAAAACACTTTCTTCATCTATCTTCAACTATCTTCTACCACCATCAGGTACATCTCTTAAAATGCGTTCTGAGGTGGTCGCTGCAGTACCTTAACACGCAAATTTTCAAATACTTTATCTAATGATGAGCAGCATGTGTGTAGGGGAATCGGGCATTTTGATTGCTTGTTTAAAGTTAAAACGCGAAATGTTACTCTGGTCTCCAGGATGCATCTGCCTATTTGATAACACATTTTGAGTCTTGACGATTGTGAGTCGAGCACAAAAGCATTTGAATGTTTGCTTTACATCGCTTTGTGGGGTTTTTAAAACTACTGTAAAGAATGTTGTGGGCTTTTTTGTTTTGAATGGTAATAAAAAAAGTTTCTATAGACCTACTAAAAATAGAACTCACTTCTAGTTTAAGACAAACATGATAACATTTCAAGTAAAAAGCTTTTGCAGGAAAGGATGGAATATAAGTTACTGAAAAGTTTATACTTAAAAGGAATATTAAACTGTGGCTGTAACAATACTGTTAGTTTCTCTCTGCTATAACCTATATAAGCCCACTGTTTTTTTCTGGTTTTCCATCAGATGTAGGAAAGGACAAAGACACGTATACAGATGATTCAGAACATGGAAATTATGATGCTCGTACAGATCAGTCGTTGCTTATTCAAAGCAAGCTTACCAGACAGAAAACTGAACCTCGGACTAAATCGTCTTTAAAGGTAACGGACACAGAACTTTATTGAATTGTATCAGTTGTCAGAATCTGCTTAAATAGTTCTGAAATATAATTTGTGGCTCCCATATTGTAGTTTGATCTACAGAATCAGTGAATGTAATTCTCTGTACGAAAAGCGACCAAAATTATATAGAATCAAGTTTTCAAATCAACTCATCTAAGAGACAATAGCCTTCTTTCAAAGAAGTTTTATTGCACAGAATTTAGGACAGGATTCCCAGCATGGAGTGAAATTCACGTCAGCTGGGAGGCCTCAAGAACTTGGTGAGAGTATAGAAAAACTAAGTTCATGGAGCAACAGATCAGTCGAGAGTGATCTAAAGTGTTGGATTCTCCTTCTAAGCAAAATCCAAGTGATTGCTGGCCTCATTGAGTGAAAGATAAAATTCACTTATGTGCAGAAGAGCATAGGAGTATTTTCGGGAACCTCAACTAAAGCACTGGAAAAGCCATCTCGGCGGATAAAGCTGACATGTTATCTTGCTTAGCAATTACCTAATCACAGTGTTCATCACAATCCATTTTCTACAGCAGTTCATCCACTATAATGCCTAAGAATTATGGTGGATTTTCAGTTCAAAACATGTATATTTTTTATTCTCGCTCTGAACTGGGAGACCTTTAGTTCTCCTTCCTGATAAGCGTAATTGCTTGTAAGTGTATGACAACGTAACCTCAAGAAGTTCTGAACAGTTTTCTTTGAGCACTGGAAGTAGTGTATTCTGCAGCATAGTTTTACCAGCGATTCTCTGATTTTTCATATATAAAGGCATGAATTTGTGCTATAAATCTATAAATGCTTAAATTGCTTTAAGGTTCTGTACTTCGCATACAGGTTACTCTTCAGTAGGCCATTATGCAGTTCTCTCATCCATTATGCCTGTGGCACTTTGATTTTAGTACTGAATGCACCTTTCATAAGAGTCATGCAACTGTTTTAAAGATTGTTCTCAGTCACATGGATCATTACTGCAGGATTCTGGAACACAGGTAGCAGGTTGATGTGATCTCTGAGACTTCATTTCATGGGGTACTTTTAGAAAACAAACTTTAATAATAATAGCTCTTCAATAACTTTTAGATAGGTTTACAGGGAATTATATTTACAGATTGAAAACCTGTGATATGAAAACAAAACTTCAGTAATGACAGAGAAGGGTTATATTTTAATTAAACTGTTGCAATGAGAACTTTTTGTGTTCACAGACTTATTTTTTTTTGTCTGTTTCTGCAAGGCTAGCAGAATTAAGACAGAAATAATAATGGATGCTCTTGTTTGTTTTTGTTGATCAGGTAGACAAAGCCTTTTATGTTAAATGTGGCCTAAAATACAGAAAAATTAATGCAGAATCTGCAGAATTTAGACCATGTTATAAAGCACTATGTATTTTTAATAACAGGTAAGGCCACTACCAGAAAAAACCCACAGTAATAGATAATGTCTGTCTAGTAACAGGCATTTCATTGTGCTAAAGCTAAATATTTTCCGTATTTTCATGTGAAGTATAAAATGACCACTAGCTGTGTTTTCTTCAGGTCCTGCATTCAGGACTGATATGAAGATTATAGGCAGCCAGTAAGCTAACTTTCTTTCAAAGTTTAAAGAAGAGCCTTGTATTTGTATTAAGTTTAAACAAAAACGCCCTTTTCATGTCTCAGTCTTTGTGTATCCTGACCTACTGAAGAAAGTTCTTCAGAGTTTAAAAACAGTCTTCTGAAGCCACATCTGGCTTTTAGCCTCGACAGCTCCTTTTATCACAGCAATTACTTTGGAAACTTCCTTCTGCTTTTATACTGTTTTTGCAAATGAGGCAACCCAGCAGGATTCTCCTCCTGTTTACTGTTTGCCTGCCTCCACAGGCAGAGGGGATTTAGATCAGTCTTATATTAGAAAAGAAGGTTACTATTTTGTCTTTGGATTATTCTACAAGTCTTTGTGGCGGTTAGTGGAAGATGTCTAAGGGAAACTTCTTCCCAAAATGGATATAAAACTAGCAGAAGGAGGCTTCTAATTCTTTTTGGGACTGTTGAAAGCATAGAAGACTGCTCTACAGCTTTACAGCTGGTAAGTACTCTCATATATTTGGAAAAGATTTGGATCTATCATGATAAAAAAATTCTCCTCAGTCTGACCAGAGAATGAAAATGAGAAACAACTGCATTGGCAAACCGTACAAGGATAAAAGGTTATTCTTATTCTCTGCTTCTTAATGATTCTCATTTAGGCTTGTTTTGGAAGGGTTGTTTTACACCTTAGAGATGCAGGGAAAAATTGCTAAAAAAGTTATTTGCAATTAATGCTTGGTACTATTATCTCTCTCCTTGATGAGCTACTTGAATACTTCAGCAATAATGACCTTGTCTTGCTGACATGATGAAAGCTGATACGCAGTTATTTCAGGAATTGTGTTTCAGATCACAGACATGATGCAGCACTTTCCATAAATCTGATTTGTATTGCTGCAGTTTTAAAGCTTTAGAAACACAGATAATTTTGATAAGCATGTGGATGCCAACGTTCATCTTGATAGTCACCTACTTTTCTCGTTTCCTTGATGACGATTTATAACTCATAGTCTCCTTTAGTGTAGCCTGGTGTAAATTCAGAATCCACAGATTTCATATTGAAAAATTGTGAGTTGTTCTGACCCATTAAAAAGCTGTCTTCATTATCCATCTCTGCTGTCTTTTCACCACCAACTACTGTTGAGATTGTGTAGACAGTATGACTTCATGTACGTGATTCTGCCAAGGGATCTCATGCAGAGGAATGATGCCAACAAGTGGCTGCTCAGCAAAACATGGAATGAGTAGTATCTGCTATTGCAAGAGAAATGTAGGAAATGAGAAGGTCCCTAACTGGAAATGTTCTAGTTTCACAAAGGAAAGCAGGCTAAACAGACTTTATCACTTGGATGGAAGGCAGCATTTGTCTAGAGAAGCAGTGAGGTCAGCAGCAGTGAATTCTTTTCCATACCAATTACTATCATATGTGTAGCGGCAAGACAGGAATGTTTGTGAAATTACACTTCCATTTCCTTTCATTTACTACATTTCTGTTACTCTCTTTGATCTGATTAATTTTTTATCAGATGAATTTTTTATCTTAGTGTATTTAGCCATCTGTCAAAGTAAAGAAAGGATTTTTAGAACAAAGTTCACATTTTATCACTATAGGTTCAGGAACCATAAGGAAATGCTACCTATACAGTAGCCTAGTTTACTGCCTTTTTATGGGATCCACTGATGCCCACTGTAATACTGCCCATCCAGACTAGCTTGGTGTTGGATAGGATCTGGAGTGGTTTCTCTTTCACTCTCCAGAAATGTTACATAACTTCTAAGGAATTTTAAGCAAGATCTTCAATAAACAGTAGGCCACAACATATGGAGAATTGTATCTAATCAGCTTGGACATACTGCTGAAAATTCATTGTAGGTTGAGCAAAACTCAGTATATCCAGTGTACATTATTACAGTGATTATTAAAGGGTAAATCTACCCGTGAAAACCTGAAATACATTGTTTAGGCATTTTATTGGATTCTTTCTGACTTTGGACATATTTATTCCTCTCTCTCCTGCAAAACAAATATTTTGCTTACAGAATTTCATGTAGGTAGTTTTGGAAAATGGAATAAATTAAGTGTAATATCTGCAGAATAAAAATTATCATCAATCTTAATAGTTTATGTTCCACACTTTTGCAGGAATTGTTTTCTGGTTTCATTTTTTCTGTTGAAGTCCATGACTCTGAGTTGCACAGATTTGTGCTATATGTTCTTATCCTGTCAATTTTTCACTAGTTTCACATACATTATTCCACTCAGAATCCTGCTCCTGTGTTCGGTGAAGTCAGCCATGCATGCTGAAAGAGAAGGTTTGGCAATAAAAATGTTTTAGTGTATAAATAAGAGCAAGATATTGTCAGCCAACAATAGTGCACTGGAAAGCAGAATAGCAAGGGGAGCCTGATAGATAAGGAGTAGTTCACAAATGCAGTCTAGTAACACAAAAGTAAATAAAATTTTAAAGGAATGATAGCAGATAAAATCGTTATCCCAGAATAGGATGACACGGTAAAGTGCGACGAAAGTTAACTTCATGTTTATACTTCTAGTGCATGCCTCTCTGTGTGAGGTTTTGTTTAAAAAGAAAAAAAAAGCTCAGAAAATATTTCAGGAAACGCAGGAGAAGTAGTAAGTAACTTTATCATAAAGATGAAAGTTTGTTTTTTAAAAAAAAAAAGTAAAGAAAAATTTTCAGTGGTCATGTCAGTGTGCTTCTTATTGAGGCCTCCCTATTAGACTTAAGAGCAAATAGAAGTGGTTAAGTATTAAAAATGGGAAGCCTCGTCTTGTCTCCAAACATCCTTCATTGCTGCTTCTTCATGTAGTAACATTGAACAGACTTCCTTTCAAAATTGTGCATAAGATCACCCAAACCTACTCCTCTCCCGAAGCAAAATGTGTTTTTTCATGTTATATACAAACATATTTTTCATGCTTACTCTGTAAATCTGATTAAAATGAAAATTGAAAAAAATGTCCTGTGTGAAGAAGCCGAAATAATTACTAATTCTTTAGTTTACTTCTAAAAAGTTAAACTGCAGTTTTATGAGGAAGGTCAGATATTTCTGGAAGTTTTCCTTTCTGTTCAGAGAACAGTGAGGTTCTGACCAGTGTGGTGTGGTATACACAGAAATACATTAGCATGGGTAATTACAGCAGCTATTGTATTTCATTTTGTTCCAATTAATTTGAAATCCTGAGCAACTGATGCATATGAACTGCCTATTCTTGTGACTTGTTCTTTATATATTCAGTTTGTGGATATGTGGATATTTCCATGCTTTCTGAAGTGCTGTGTTACGCAGACTTAGTGATGGGGCTCTTCATCTTTACAAATGCCACATTCTGTGTATTTTTATTTTATGTTCTCCAGACTGGTGCCATGGCATCATCAGGCCTCTTCTTCAAAGATGGCAAAAAACGCATTGATTACATCTTAGTTTACAAAAAGTCAAGTCCACAGGTAGAAAAAAGAAGCACATTTGAGAAGAATTTGAGAGCAGAAGGGTTGATGTTAGAACGAGAGGTGAGTTTTGTAGCTTATGTGGTATAAAAAGACCTTTATAACACTATCATACTTTACTGGATTTAGAAATGGTTCCCGACAATCTTACAAGCCTTTCCAGTCAGGCTTTGTTTAATGTCATTAAATTAATAATACCAATTGTTTGATAGTATGTGTTTAACATCTTTTGGAGATGCATGCTTGTTTGCATATGCACGCACGCGTGTACCCCCCAAAGTAGAGTCACTTTTAAATTGGAGGGAAAACTTCCAGCTCCTTATGCTTGCAAAGCAGAAGAAGCCTCAGTAGCTCATGTTGTTGCTTTAATACAAAACCGCTGTGTCTTTCAGCACAACGCATGATACTAAATATCTCTGGTTTTAAAGGGGTAAAGATTTTCGACATCAAGCTAATTCATCTCTAGTTTACATGGTTTAATCTGCATTGGGTTCTTTTAGCTAGAGTAGTGTATGATTAAGTGCTGCTGTTCATTCTTCTGAATTTTCTTGAATACATTAAAAAAGTAGTCCTGTTATTCTAATAGTATTAAAAATGAAATTAATATTTTATGCAGAGTACAAAGTTTCTCTGTCAAATCCATCCTCCCTTTATTTTTTTAATTACTGAAACATTTAAAAATTTTGAGTATTAGAAGGGATTTTTTTTAATTTTGTTGTTGTTGTTGTTGCATGGCTGTAGTTTTGTCATCTTGACTCCAAGCTGGCATTGTTTGTTTTCCCAAAATTCCAAGTTAATATCTCTTCAAGGCTTCTAAGACAGCTGCTGGTACCATAGAGAGGAGCTGGAGTGTTCATATGAGAAGATAAATATAGGAACCTATAATGCTGAGACTCTTGATTTATGTACAAATAAATCAGTGATGAGGAACATTTGTGTAGGATATTCCTTTTACAAAAAAAATCTCAATTCATGCAGAGATCCCATTGATAAGTTCATAGCAGATACCGCAATTACTTAAACCGTTCCCTGGAGTTACCATTTTGGCAGGGTGGGACCTGCAGCCTTCTCTCAGCTGGTCTTGTGTCTCTAGCAGCCGAGCACTGTTCTCCTTAAATGGGAGACATACAGAATGGTCTTCTCTAAGATAATTTTGAGGGGATTTAAAATTAATTCATTTATTCCATGTCAAAAAATGCTGCATAAAGCCTTTCTCTACTTCTGCTGTGTTTATGAGCAAAGATCTGTCCTACAGATTCCTTTTGCAGTGACTAGTTTACTCACATTCCAGGGTTTGGGAGGGGAAAAAAAAGTTACTAATTTTCCTTTGTCTAGGTGAGAGCATTTACAGTGTTTTCAGACTTGCATGGCCACTTCAGGCCTAAGAACAGAATTTGACCCTGAAGAACACTTTTAGAAAGGTGAATGCCATAGAGGTTTGAATTATTCATGTGTATTTATTTGTTACCGCCCTTCACAGCCAGCTGTTACAAACAGTGATATCATGTTTGTTAAAATTCACTGTCCATGGGAGACATTGTGCAAATACGCAGAAAGAATGAACATCAGGATGCCTTTCAGGTATTGTGGAAACTATTTTAAGAAACTTGTCATTTAATGCTTAATATGAAAACTTCATTACCTACTTTAAGGCTAAAATGTAGTCTTTGCTGCATTGTGGCCCGTCATGCTTACATTCAATTTAGTGAGATGATATGGAGAGAGGAGAGGAGAAACAAAAATAGGCACTGTTCTTTTCACATTTACCTGTGGTACTCGTCTTCAAGCTTACCTTACAAGTCAAATTGAGCCTATGTCTTTAGAAAATAATGTTAATAGTTCACATTGGTTTGGATGTCTTCGGCAGTTTCAGGTATTCTCCCATCTGAGCTCAAGTATTCTCCATGATTTTAGGGTGTTTCTGAAGTCTTACCCAAAGGCAAGTGAAATGACAGAAATAGCTGGTGTGTTCTGTGTCTCCAGTATAACACATATTGGCATACTTTGGAGAAAATGAGATACCTTTATTTCTTGCTCCTCTAGCTTTCCTTTTGCAGAGTAATGAACTAAACTGAGTTCCTTGTCTGTGTGCTAAACTAATTCTATCACGTTTTTTGCAATAAATATTTGTTATTCATTTGTAGGACAAGTTAATATCTCCTGCAATAATACAGAAGTTTTTAAAGGAGAACATGTCCCTTTTCAAATCACAGAATCACAGAATGGTAGGGGTTGAAGGGACCTCTGGAGACCGTCAAGTCCTACCCCACTACCAAAGTAGGTTGGCCTAGAGCAGGACTGCATCCAGGCGGGTCTTGAATATCTCCAGGGAAGGAGACTCCACAGCCTCCTTGGGCACCCTGTTCCAGTGCTCTGTCACCTTTAATGTAAAGAGGTTTTTCCTCATATTGAGGCAGAACTCCCTGTGCTCCAGTTTGTGCCAGTTGCTCCTTTTCCTGGCACTGGGCACCACTGAAAAGAGCCTGGCCCCATCCTCTTGACACTCACCCTTTAGATACCTAAAAGTGTTGAAAAGGTCCCCTCTCAGGCTAATGAGCCCCAGGTCTCTCACCCTTTCCTCGTAGGAGAGATGCTCCAGTCCCCTCGTCATCTTAGTAGCCCTCTGCTGGAGTCTCGCCAGTAGTTCCCTGTCTCTTGAACTGGTGGGCCCAGAACTGGACACAGTACTGCAGATGTAGCCTCACCAGGGCAGAGTAGAAGGGGACAACAACCTCCCTCGACCTGCTGGCCAAACTCTTCTTACCACACCCCAGGATACCATTGCCCTTTTTGGCCAAGAGGGCACCTCAGGCACCTCTCCAGTCCTCCATGACCTGTCAAAGGTGATGGAGAGCAGCTCAGCCATAACATCTGCCGGCTCCCTCAGCACTCGCGGGTGCATCCCATCGGGGCCCAGGGATTTGTGAGTGTCCAGTCCGGCTAAGAGATCCCTAACCCAATCCTCCTCAACCAAGGGGCAGTCTTCCTTCCTCCAGATTTCCTCACCTGCTTCCAAGATCTGGGATTCCTGAGGACCAGCCTTAGCAGTAAAGACTGAGGCAAAGAAGGCATTCAGTAACTGCCTTCTCTAAGTCGGTTAATAATGTTCTTCCAGAGAGAGAAGAGCGTGTAGTGTGCTGTAAAGCTCATCAGGAGTTAAAGTGGAACCGGATGCCAAAGCTGCGTGACTCACGGAAAATACCCTTACAGCGCTCCTTTCTCACTGGAATGGCCAAGTGCTCTATCTTTCGTGTCTCTGATGATTTCAGCTATCACAATGTGTCTCTCTTGCATTGGTCCTAAGCCAGGAACAGTCATCGTGAAGCATCCTTTGCTCAAAACTCGCTTCAAATAGCCACTCCTATACCGAGTTTCCACATCATCCCATGAAGCCTTTAAAGTCCTTTCCATTAAAAAAAAAAAAAGATGTTTTGTGTGACAGTCATCCTCCATATGTTTGAGACAGTGCCATTTCAGCTTCTCTAGTTTGAATAATACTTGTCAAAATTTTAAATACAGAAGTGTGTGCGTATGTGTACACACGCACACAAACAATCTAAATTCCAATTAAAAAATAGTTCTTCCTTGCTTTTGATACTTGAAGTCACAAAATTAAGTTAGGATTTAGCAATGGTTTGAATTTTTCATTGTTTTAGTGACTTCACAGATCAGTAGTGCTCTTCAGAAAAAGAAAAAAAAAAAGGATGACTACTTTTGCAATACTGCTTTCTTTGGAAGGCATTCAAAGTCATGTTTGTTTATTATATTATTAACTGACATGTAAATATATTCTTCTTCCCCCATCCCCCACCCCCCAACATGCCCTCCGGAAGAGTCTGATCCCTGTTTCTTTGTTTCTGGGCTATTGCTTTAGCTGCTTTTTATCCCGCTCTGTTCAGTACAGCAAAAGTACATAAATTACAAAATTTTCCTGCTTGACTTTGTTGACAGTTTTGCTGTAGAATGAAACACATTTATTTGGGTAAGAAAAAAGCCCACTATCCACTTCTACCTCCATAATAGAACTGTGAGAAATAGTAAATCAATCACCATTTCTTTCCTCTTTAAAAATATTTTAATAGGTATTTAAACGGAATTGCAATCTAAAACTTGTGTGACTGTTTCAAATAGGCTCTTTCTTTAGTTTCCATACTTTTTAAAAAAATGAAAGTGAACACAGTTTTATTGTGAACACAAAGTGGACGTAGCAGAATAGAACAAAGGTCTATTTTGGTTTGCTAGCAGCCAGCCTAAAGTGTCCAGTACAGAAGCCAAGCAAATCCAGAGCAGTGTTTCGTGATGCCTTCTCTCTTTCCAGCAGGCTATGGTTTAGAGACTTCCTGAGGCAGAGTTCATGTCTTCATCTTTGCTTATATTAGCCCAGATGGCTTCTCATGGATGCAAAAATAGCCATCTGCGCTTCTGTAACAACATCCTGTGACCACGGATTTTGTAATTTAATTACATGTTTTGTCAAAAGCACTTTTGTTTGTTTTAAGTCTTGAGCTTGCTTATTTAAATCAAACTTTTCTTAACTGGATGGTGTATGTTGTTTTCCTGAGGTAACTATTTTCTCCATTCAATGGACAGAGGAAGCTCAAATCATACAATTCCCCCACAGTTACCATGAGCTGGAGTAGTTCCACAAAGTCCTTCAAGAAGCCAGGAGTTGGACTCAGTGATCCTTACGGGTCTCTTTCAACTTGAGATATTCTGTAATTCTAAGAACAGATTATTTCTCTTAGCCTTTATCTGATTTATCAGTGGCATCTGACTCTCCATTTGTAATACATAATTGGAGAAGAGAGCTAACCTTTCCCACAGTACTTTAATGCAGTACACCCTTATTCTCTTGCACAGTGGTGCGAAATTTTGGCTTTTGGTTATGGTCAGTAAACCATATGTCAGTATCATATATGAATAATACACAAAGAATTAAGATCATACTTTTTAGGTTCATTTTGCTCAATCCAGGAATCTAAACAAAGTCAATAGACTTGCTACACAGGTTAAGAAGTATTTCTCTCTGCTTCTGGAAAGTAAAAATGCTTTTTTCTCACCCAAGAGACCATGCAGCATCCTTTTAGCATGGCACTATACCTAAATGTGTCAGCAGGTACATAGTTTATGTCCTATGTGTAATATAGATGGAATATCAGTGTTTCAATTACAGAAGGAAATTTTTCTAGCATTTCTAGAGACTGTGTTATAATCACCGTTGTCTTGTGTATGGTTTCAACAGGATTTATGTTAGCACCAAGGTCAGGTCATGACTGAATTATACTTTTTTAAACAATTTATAGATAGTTTTGTGAAGTATGTGGTCTGTCAGTAGAAGTGAAGCTCTGTTATATATTTATGAAACTCAGACAAAAGGTTAATTTTATCTGTGTCTACAAGTATCTCTTGTGACACATAATTATTAGTTTTATCTGTATCTTACCTGGACTCTATCTGCAAAACAGCTAAGGGCAAACAAAGGGAACAAAGGAAGGGTTTTGTTAAAAAATGTAATGCCTGGAAATCCTTTAATAGTTCTTCATTGTTTCCTTTACAATTCTGACTAGTAGTACCAATGTCAGGCTGCCAACAGCCTGTAGATAGGTAGATATGCAGTTTTTCAGTGGCCGTGTGTTTTCTAGGCAACATTTCCTTTCCAATCCTTTTAGTGTATTCATTTCATTGTTACTTTAATGTAAGTAATGTACTTTAATAAATCTCAAATACTGCCTAGATGGGCAGTTTCAGATCTCGTTAACTATGTATGGTTCTAGGCATAGAAAGTGACAGAGAAATATCCAGAGTGAAAGTACCATTTTTGTGTGTGTTAGAATGGGGGATATAAAATATTCACTGAAAATAATGTTACAATTTTATATTATCCAAATAAGCTTGTTTTAATTCCTCCTAAAAAATTAACCTTGCAGAAGTAGAAAGGATTTAGGCAAATTTTACATAGAAGATGAACAAAGCAAGGAGTAAAGCCCCTGGTGCTGAACTTCACTGTCCCCATGAGTACCATGGTAAAGATACGGATACCCCAAGGAATCTGCAAGATTGAGGCCTTTGTGTAGTTGAAATGTGACATGAAATGATAACAGTAGGCCAGGGAAAAACCTGGAAAAAAATGAACTAGATGTGTAAATTATTATATTGCAGCAAGTATGTTTCTGTATGGTTTCAAAATAACTGTTCTCAGAAGACTTGACTGGAAATTTTTGGTCTCGTTTCTCTGAGTTGCTATGACAGGTGAGGGGTGGAAAGAAAAGAGCTGTTAACATGAAAGTTGCTTGTTGCAGTTAGTACTCTTAGTGGGTTTTTTTAGGACCATGTATTGTTCTTCAGTTGGATGCAAAAAATCCAGGGAAGGTGATGATATACCACTTCAGGGAATGAAGATGGTATCTAATGGCGTTAAGTGCTTATGGTATTCGATGCGTAGAGTGCATGAGGTGTTTAATAGCTTGTTAATTTTTCTGAAATGAGTTTCATGAAATAAAAGCTAAGAAAGACCAAATTAAATGACTACAGCATGACACCATTGAGCCCTGTCTGATGAGTGTCTTATGAATGAATTACTGATTAGCTATTATTATCGTTAGCCACAAATCTAAAATTTAATTTTGACTCAGGAACAAATTTTGAGCTTGAAAATGTCTGAAATCAAAGCATTTTAATGATTTATTCTATTTAATTGCCTTTTTTAAGTGTTTTTCACCTTTCTGCCTGTGAAAATGCATGTTTTAAAATGTCCACTGTGCTTTTATAATGTATATATCCTTTTCAGCTGTCTCCTACTTGATCATTCTCAGATGATTTTTGCTGTTCTTTCAGGAAAAAATGTTATTACACTGACTGGAGGAGCAAAACCATGGGCAGGTTGGTGGGTGATGTGTAGCTTCTAATTTTGTCAGATAGTCACCCTGCTGAAGAAAATCCATTCGCAGTTGTAAATTTATCCAGGAAACTTGGTAAATCAGATTATTTTCCTGAAAGCTCAAAATATGTTAGCTCAAAGTGTTAAAATATTCATCTGTAACAAGATGCAGTACTTTAAAGGTTTGTCAGTTCTCATTTTAGAAATGCAGAAGTGTTTATGCCAGGAAAAAAAAAAAAAAAAGAAAGGCCTCATCCTGTCAGCGAAGATTTAATACTGGAGCTATCTCTAGAGTTACGTCTGCTGTATATTTCTTTAGCATGAAACGTACTTTTGAGTGTGTGTCTCAGAGTCTGGTAGTCAGCTCTTTCATTAGACATGCAAACGTAATTTCTCTCACGTGTATCCTGGTGATCAGGAGTAAATCAACTCCACAGCCCGAAAGCTGGTTTGAGTTGTTGTTTGAGAGCTGACAGAGTAACTTGTACTCCGCAGTGAAAGCTGGTGGGCTCTCTGGGAGGCAGACCCATGCACACCTCACCTGCAGCTGCTGCTGCTGCTTCTCTCAGGCAGGAGGAGGATACAAGAGGCCGCAGCAGTGGGCGTAAGGAGCCTGGGGGAGCTGGGGAGCGAGAACAAGGGACACTGTGAGCTGTAATCACTCCCTTTTGCTCTAGTCAGATATAATGATGTCTTGTAAATCCTAATTACCTATGGAAAAGATATGAAAATTTTTACATGAGGGAAATCTTCTGAACAAGTTTCCTATCATGGGTTTTCTCAAGATGGATCTTGAGATGAGATTACATTTGATTTAGGTTCTCCTGTTGTTACCTTAGATGATGAAGAGCTCTCATTATATCGCAGGAACAATTTAAGTAGCCTCATGATACCAGTTTGCGAGATGATCAGCTAACAAAAATAGACGAAGCATTGTCGAACAGTGAAGTGAGAAAACTTTAAATACATAAGCAGATAAAATACACTGAAATAAAGCAATCTATAACATAAATTTACAACTGCGTTTTTTTCCTGTTCCCAGTCATTCACATGCTTGCTCCATTTTACTGTGCATTATGAAAAATATAAGTGATGTGCTTTGTAACGCAAAGGCAAAATCAACAAGCTTTATTGCAAAATTGTCTCATTTCATCTGTAATCCATCTGGTGAGTCCTAGACACTAAATAAATTTATTTTCCTTGTTTAGAAGGACAGATGTCTGAAACATGCAACTGAAGTTGCACAGTACCTGTTAACCAAGTAATAAACGCTTTTCATGCCAGATTGATTTTTCATTTGAGACAAATGCTTTTACCTGTGATTTACTTTGTGAGAATTTGGGGATGAATTTTTTTCTGAATATTTTTTTCTGGCACTTTATATAATCCAGTTCACAAAGGAGTAGTGTGGAAAAAAAAAAAAAAAAGAAGCTACATCTACAAATGAAAGCTAACTCTAGAATTGCTGACATACACATCTCATCCTTTTAACTTCTACTGTCATTTTTCTTTGCATCTTACAACTTTTCAGACTTAACTGCTTCTCTGTAATTTGCCAAATCTGTTATTAATATTTCTAAGTTATTAAGTGAAGTTTGCAAGAGCTATGATGAAGAACTATGTTAAAATCCTTGTATATCAAAGGTAAACTTTTAAGGCTATAGAGCTTCTATAATTTAAGACTATGAGGTAACACTAGTATATTAGACCCTGCTGTGATATGGACACATCTCTGAATTTATTGACATGGTTATATGGTAGATGTATCTATCTATAAATGTCCTTTATAAAATCTGAAAAAGATTATTAGGAGCGTGAATGAAAGGATGGAAGATAAATGTAATCCTTACCAGTATACTGTCTTTCTTTTATGTGATGTCTCTCTATTTCTTTATTTATATACCTTAAAAAAATAACCCTTGACTTTGTACTTAGTCCTGTGAAACTTGAATTCTATTCATAGGGCCACACTATAGAAATAACTTTATCATACTCCTTAAGAGCAGTATTTGGAAAGCCTTCAATCTTTTCAAAGGAAAGGAAGTTGCTAGAAGTGGGATATGCAAGTAAATAATGTAGGTATCAAAAATTGTCTGAAGTCTCAGATTTGAGACTGAATAATCTAATGAATCCATCTTGTATCTGCCATATCAGACACACTGATTTCATCTGATTTCGTGCTGGTTAAGAATGACATTGAGGAAAAGAAAATGTAAAGATATTGCCTTAGTATGCAGCTTCACTCTGCCCACTGTGTTGAAACAAATTTATACTTCTAAGGATAGAGAACCAAAAATGACTTCATTTAGCAATGGAGCTGCAATAAGTTTGCTTTGCAAAAGGACTTTTAAGACTATGCTATCTGAATGAAAAAGACCTTAATCACACCTTAGATAAAAAGCTTTTTGCCTCAGAAGAGAAATTGCAAATGTAATGTGGACATAATTTTTAATTTTTTCCAATGCTGTTCTTCATTACTTTTCACATTAAAAGGAGCAGACATGAATTTTAAACAAGAGCTGATTTCTTTAAAATAATAATTTATTTACTAGATTTTTAGATTTTTGGAGGTGGAAAATGATCGAGACTCTTCATGTAACCAATTTTAAAAGAATTTCATAATAAAAAATCTGAAATCGGATGCATTGCTTTTCTGTTCTTCCTCCTGATGCACCTGCATATTTTCCAAAAAAAAATCAGCATGTTTAAAACTGAAAAAAGGTGAAGAAAGTACAGTGAAAACTGTACTTATATACACTGTGTATAACTTTGTACCGAGAGAACTTCCACTGGAAGCAATAATCAGCTCGCACAGTATGGTGTTATTTGAGTAAAGGAGACGCTTAAGGGATGCACCTGCCTGGGAACTGTATTCTGTGTTTCAGCTTTGTGAACATGGCTCTGTTCTTTGGCTCATAATGCCTAGTGTCAAATAGCGTGGTGTCTCTCGAGTGCAGTACCAGTTACATAGAGTGTGCACTGATACCTTGGCAGTATATAGCAAGAAGAACGTTTTGAAAATTTCAAATGTAAATGCAAAATTCTGATCCCACATTTGGCTTGAATTCTGTCTGACGCTCTGTCAAACAGGGGTAGAACTTTTTTTCCTGATGTTGATAAGAAGAGGTACGTTTTCACAAAAGTTGCTTTGCTGCCTGAGGGCAACTTACTGTGTCATTACTTACTACTCTTAATTATGAAATGGGTAGCTGTGCTTTGACCAGGCAGTTAAATATTCACCTCAGATTAAAAAAATCTGATACTTAGCTTTACACTTTTTTGTGGGTATGAGACATATATGCTTTGTATATCATGGGTACATATTCATTGAGTGAGGCCCAAATCCTGCTGGAAAAAATGTTATTTAGGCAATGTTTTTCTACAATTTAGACTTTTTCTGGATCTCCGATACGCTTATAGTGTCATAATATAGCACTCGTTAACATGAGACCTACTCCTTACATACCTGTATTGCAGTTGAATATGGAAAAAATGTGGGTCAGCAAGGAGTGCAAAATTGAAGTGGTAAGAGCCAACTTCTAGCATTTGCTTGAAAATTATCTGGGCTTCACTAGATTTACCCCTGTGTAAACCGTGTCCTGAGGCACTTTAGGCAAGTTGCCAGCAGAAGCAAGCCCTTTATGTTACTAGTATATAATCTAATGGAGGATACATATATTGTGTTCTGTTTGTGTTTTATAATGTCTATTTTTGGGAAACTGCAGGAAGCCTGTATGACAGTATCTGTATAATGTATCCTTCATTTGATGTTTAGGTATATTGTTTTGTAAGGGAATATCAGCCCTTGGATTTTGAGGAAAATTTTGCAGGGGAAGGCTTTATTGAAATCAGAAAACCATAAAAATCTGATCCTGAGCAGTCTCGTATTTACTCTCAAATTTTATGAATTTTAGTGTCCAAGTTGCCAGGCAAGGCAGGGAGGAGGAGTTACGGTTGCCTTGTCCAGTGGGGTTAGAGGAAGTAATTAGATATGTTCATGAGTAAAGCATAAGCATCCACAGTTCTGCCAGATGAACTACCTCAGAAAATTATTTTCCTTGGACTCAATATTGCAGTCCCATCTCAACCCATAATCCCACTAATTTTAGGATGAGTTGTGCAAGATAGATCGCAAATAAATGCTGTTAATTTTGCTCTTTAATTCCTTATTATCTTTTAGTTACTGTGGCGGTTTCCTGCTTTCATTTCATTTCTAGTATGATGTCACTAAATATGCAATGTTGGAGATAGAAATAACAGGCAGGTGAGAGTGTGTATATCTGATTTCTTATTGTCTCAGTTTGCAGAGGAATATGAGAGAGCTGAAAAGTTGGTTGCCCAGAAATCCAATGAAGCTTGATAAGGAGGCCCTGCCTGATCTGGAAGAAACAGATTGCTACACGGCACCCTTTAGCCGTGCACGAATACACCAGTAAGTGCTGGAACTGGAAAGGCAGCACCAGAGACCACAAGGATTTTTTATTTTCTCACATCTTCTGAGCAAGTGCCATAGAGGCAGCCGCTAACAGATGGTCACTGGCAAATACCCAGTATCATATTTGATGTTTTCTATGAGTTTTCTCTTAAAGCTAAAATCTACTCTCTGTTCCTTGCTATTTGGTGGTCACTCGATAGTATAGGCAGAAATTCGATTGAAAAATGAATACTGCCTTTTTGGTTTAGAAGTTTTTCTTTCTATTCCATTACAAAATGCAAATATTTTCTCAAGTTTGCTTTGCCTGATTACTATTTTTACTTAGGCAAAACCTGAGACTGACGTTGAAATTGGGAGCACCTGGAGGCAAGATAAAACCAGTGAAGATTTTTTTCTTTTTTTATCAGATCTGCATTTTAAAAATGCTTTTGTCTCTGAAACTGTAAATATATATACACCAAATAAAAATGGTATGTGTTCAAATCAGCATGTTGATAGTGATGTAGTTAAACTGTGCCATAATTTTTTTCAGGACCCGAAAAGTTTGATTTTAAAATTCTGGTTATTTCTTAATTTTTAAAGTGTTTTGTGATGATTCTTTTAGGAGAGAGAAGTTTATTTAAAGTAGAAGTACAAATTAGGCTAAATAGGAATTTTTTCTTCTTGGTAAAGAAGCTGTATGCTAGTGGACTGACTTTACCCTGGAAAGACAGAGTAATTGCATAATAATCTCAAATTTTTTCCCTACTTGACTATATTGTATTGGATCAATCACCTGGTTTTGGTGTTATTTCTCAACAGCTCAGCTGATGTTATCAGATGTAATAGTGTCACTTTTGGTACAGCTGAGCAGGCAAAAGCACGTCAGATTTCTGGCATCTGGAATCCAGAGCCATCTGGAAAGGATGCTTTATTTGGCTCCGTCCTAGGATTTTCTAAGGGAAAGTGGTTGTGGAGCTGCTACTCAAGTGTCTGGTGCATGGAGATTTTTTTAATTATTATTTTTCTAAACAGTAGTTCTGGTAGTTCCATGATACAGACATCTGCCACCTCATAAATAACTTGAATTTGAGAACAACCACTGCTTCTGAAGATATCTTTTTGATTAATTAAATCTAGAATAGAAATTACCTAGATAGTAGGATGGTTTAGAATCTAGTTTTAGTTGCTCTGTTTTCCCATCAACAACCTGTGATCATGACAAATTCATTAGACCTAAGAAGATTTTCCAGGGATGTAAAATCTTGTATCTTGTACAGTAACCGAGGACAGTAAAGAACCAATAAATCACTGTAATAAGCGAACACTTGAGCAGCTATATTTCAACACTTGTGCATTGTTTTGAATATTAAGACATTCATTATTTTAATAGTTTTACGATAAACAACAAAGACAGCTTCTTCAGCAATTCCACAAGAAGTAGAATCGTGCATCACATGCTACAGAGAACTAAGTACGAAGATGGAAAATCCAAAATGGGTGAGAATACTGTATTTTTTTCCTAACCTATAAAAATCTTACATCTTTACTTGCCTGAAAAGGTATCATTGAAGTAAACTCAAATAATTTTGACGTTCCTTGAAATCTCTTTATTCGCTCAGTAACAGAGTTGAAGGAATGTCACATCAAGCATCTTCTTAAATAACTCAGTGAAAATTGGCAATGTTTTTCACCTAATTACTCATTCCTTAAAATAAATTGGAGAGATTGATAACTTTGTGATCAAGAACCATAATAAAGAGAACATATACCTCAGAAAACTGTTGGGTGTTTTTTAGGGCTAGCCCTAGTAGTTCTGTTGCTACGCAGCAGTTCCGGTCCATCAGAATCAATGAGCTACAGTTAACTTATTTGAGGTCTCCATGCAGCTCAGAGGCAGTAGACCTGAAGACTAAGCTCAGTTTATATCAACATTCCTATTACAGTATTGGTTTTTAGCAGGTCTAACTAGTCATTTTTAATTGCAATGAACAGGGGATGTATGTATGATTTCCTATATTCTTTGCAGGAGTTAAATTAAGAATTAAATATCTAGAGACATATTAAAACCTTATACTTATGAAGATGATAGAAATTATAGAAAGTTGCTGCTTAGGTTTCTGAAAAAAAGCACTAGTAAGAAAAACATAGAAAACAAAGGTTCAGATCTAGTGCCTTTGAAGTTGATAATGGCAAATTTCATTACGAGATTAGTTTACCGTAATTTGTACATTTGAATGCACAAATCTGAAATCTGTCGTAAGTACTTCTTTCTTGGGGAAACTTGGCTACAAGGGTATTCTCACAGGCTACTGAATCTTTTTATTATAATTATTAATGGTTATTTATTATTTTTTTTTATAATGTGCTTTGACAGTATAACGACTCTGTTTTTAGGAAGACTCTAGGAACTGATCCAAAATACTGTAGCTAGTGTGATGCAGAGCACTGCTCTGATACGAGCTTCTGTAGCTGGCTTATGTTTAAAAATAACAACAGGTTAGCTCTTAACCCTGCAGGAGTTTTGTTGCCTTAAGAATTGTCTGTCCATACCACTCTCTGTGTGTGTTAGACCATCTGGTCACCCATAAAATCTGTATCATATGCTCTGATGAATACAACATGCGTGTAACTGTCTTCTCACACTTGAGCTGGCATGAGCACCCAACCCCGAGAAAAAAGTTGCAGACGTTGGCCCTCAGAACGATGCTGTAGTTTGACAGAGCCAGAAATCTCGAGGGATCGGCAAGACCTGCACAAACAGTTGCTGGGATTATTGATCATTGTCATGTTTAGCAGCATCCTGAGCATCGAACATTAAATTACAGTCTCAATATGTAACTTGAAAAATCACACTGCTTGAAATTAAATTTGTATAAAAAAATTATATCGGAACTAATGCTTTTTTTCTTTTTAGGTATTAATAGATTACTAAATAATGGAACATATGAAGCAGCATTTCCACCACATGAGGTAACATGGTTAATTTTGTATTTGTATTTAGATTAAAGCTTGCGCTAATGTTTTGGGATCCTACTTTATTTTTAATTTTGTCCTGCGGACTTTTAATTTCACTATGTAATCTGTTGAGACTTTTTTTTACTTGTATCTCTTACTTTAATATTAGCGTTAATAAATTTTCTTACATAATGTATTACAATAACTTCCTGGAGCATTTTCTTGCTGAAACTGGAATATTATAATTCTTCTTTTATTTTTATGAACCGGACATTGCCTGTGGAATTCTTAATGAGAATATCAGTTGTTCCAAATTGCTCCAATTAGTTGTATTAAATTATTTTTGCCTATCACCTACAAAATAATTTGGTTTTCCTAATAGCTTGCTCACTTGATCACGGATAGGAAGATTATTTCCCATTTAGTCTTTTCTGAATAGTTCTGGATATCTTCTACTTGACAATAACTTTCTCAGTAGGTTAAAGACGGTAAACCCGTGAAGTAAATGAAACACTTGTTTGACTTCAGAGGGTTTTCAGACAATCTTTGTGTATTGAAAAGGTAGGAGCAAGCCACACATCTTCAGTCATTCTAAATGCTGCTCAGTAGCATGGTAATTGCAGCTGCGAACCTTGTGGTTGCTCCGTCTGAATATTGAGACATGGTCTTGTGTTTCAAAGGACTGACCTGTGCTTTACAAATTGCTGTCAGTCGGGTTTTTATACGATATTAATAATTAAATACTGGGAATATAGAGAAGGAGTATTTTACATAAATAATTGAATATCATTGTTCACGCTTCAGCTGGGCGCTGCAGGTAAAAGCTGGCCAGACTACCAGGAAAAACCCGTGAAGCTTTCTCTGGCTGTCAAAACCATGCTGTCATATCCATTTGGTGTATCTGTTCCTTTGTTATGGCACAAAGTTTCAGTTGAGGTTACTGAAGTCATATTTTTAAGCCACTTCTACCTGAATTGCTGCTTGACTGGTGCTAAGGGCTAGTGGTTGAACACTCTCGGTTTTTTTTTTTTTTTTCATTATCACATGAGCAAATGAGAGCGATAATTCAGTCCCAGTTGGAATGCTGAGACTTGGACTTCGTTACAGAAAAACAGCGCAGAAAGAAGCAGGAGGAAATAAAAAAGTATTTTAAAATATGCAAAACTGGCCTATGCTTTATGCATTGCAGTCATCCATTACCCAGGGGACTGTGAGAATGAGTTGATGTTCTGTTCCTAGGTGTTCCTAGAAATTGTGAAGGTCACGCTCGGTGTTGACATTTTTGGTATGCTGCTTTGCTGACTGTAATGAGAAATGTGTAAATTGGACTCTTTGCTGTGTTTAGCTTTGGTTTTAACACATTCTTAAACCAGAGGTTCAGGAGATTGCAACAACTAAACAAGTCATGTTCTTTAAATTGTGGGGAATGTTCAAGATTTCAAATAAAACATAAAAATCTAAATGGCTAAATTACATGGATCTACCAGGGTCAAGACTCTGGCTAGTTGAAGCTGACTCTGAAGTACTGCCCTAAGGAATTCTACTCTCCATGCAAGAAATTATTTGGCTCGCTTGCTGAAGGATTTTCTTTACCATAACTCAGTGGTGGAGTCTTTTGGGGGGAAAAAAGTTCAGCTAAAGGAGATGTCCTGCTTCAGACTTTGAGTAAAATTACAAATACAAGAGATTCTGCTTAGGATGGTTCTAGCAGATCAGGGTGTTACCTTTCCACTGCTGAGGATGAGGCTATTCTTTCAGGCAGTCAGTAAATGTCAGGCACAGCCTGGAAGGACTCGTTTTGGGTCAAACTGATTCTGTGCTTTGCTTTTAATGCCTCTGAGAGGCCTGCATAGCTTCAAAATAATGCCAGCCCTGTTGTTTCCACCATCTTAGAAAGTATCACAGAAAGACTATGTTTGTCTATACTTCTAAACAGGAGTTAAATAAAGTCATAGAAAATGTCTAAGAGAGAACTGAGCTGACATGCCAGAAATTTCTAAAATTTTACAGGAGAGAAAAGAAGATACCACAAACATCTCATGAAAAGTTTTGAAAAATTGAAATAGGTGAAAACATACAAATAAGCATATGAGAGTGAAATAGAAACACTGTACTTGAAGCTATATAAAGAGTTGAGCAGTTCTTTAGTCTTGTACTAGTATGGTTCTATCGTTAGTTCTTAGAGAAACTGGCCATTTCAGAAGCATATGTAACCATATCTCTTCTCTCAGGCTTACAGTTGAGCTCCAGATAACATGTCCTAGAGGTGTCCATAATAAGAGACCTACTTATTAAAAATAGTGAAAACCTCATTTAAAATTATACTCAAAAATGCCAAAGAAATTTATATATCTTCCATAGTTCCTAGTAATGTACTTTTATTTATTTGTCTTTTTCAGGGAAGCCACAAAAGCAGACATCCCATCAAAACACACGGAGCTCAGAATCACAGACACCTCTTATATGAGCGTTGGGCACGGTGGGGAATGTGGTACAAATACCAACCTCTGGATTTAATCAGGTATTAGTACTTTGAAGAGTAGCTTGTTTCTGTGATACAAACAAACCGGTAACAGTGTGTTAACCATACTGCTAAATTTCTTGTGCTTTCGTGTAACATTTAGCTATTCAGTATTATCAGATAAGACTGGAATTCTCTAAATTGCTTCTTTTGGATAGCCTTTTGTGCAGGGCTGTTAATTTCAAATGAGGCTGCATAAGAGGCACATAGATCCAGCTGCTTGACAATTCGCAGTCTAAAACTTAAAATACAAACCCATTACATAGTGTGCTGACCAGAGACACTTGCCCCTAATGAGAGCACCGTTGAGAGCAAAGACTGTTGCCCACACAGACAGTCAGAGTTACCAGATCCAGTGGAGTGAAAATGCAACCCAATTGTTACGTTTCCACGTGGGTTTAAATAAATTTCGGTTTCTGTATCTTATAATAAATGTCATAGTTTACCAAACATAAAGCAGAGGAATCCATGTAATTGAAGTTAAATAATTGTGTTGTTTGGGTTTCATACTTTCCTCGTATTTGACATTGAATACCAATAATTCATTTTTCCTTGCTGTCAGTTTTTATTCCTGATCTGACAGTCATAACCAGTCATTGTGCCCAGCATTGTTCCACTGAAGGCTGTAGAGCTAAGCATGTGCCATGGGACAATTCTGTGCTGATCAAATAGTATCATCCTTGACTGACTTTCTGATTGCTGTTACTTCATCACTTCTAGCAACTGATACCCAAGTTTTGAAGAATTAAAGCTCAGTCTTAACTTGTGTTTTCAATCCATTGTTTTCTCTAATAATAGTTTGAATATGTCATATTACATGATTATCACAAGTGCTCTTTATAATGGAATACTTAGGTCATACCAACTTTATCTCTTTCCAGAAATTGTTTGTGTGCGTATGTATCTATATATCTGTCTCTGTGTGTGAGCAAATAAAACGTCCTACATTTAGTAATGTTGAAACTAGTACATCTGCTTAGTCATTGCAAGGACATGAAAATTACAGAGCGCTTCAGTTATATCCTTATAAAATAAATGTTCTGTTAAGTCTGCAATTAATGTCACTGGAATGTTATGCTAGCCTGAAGTAAAATGTTTTGGTAAACTGACAATAATTTTACCGTAAAGTTGTAATGGTAGTTCCTCATTAGAATTATTCTACTACTGAATAGAGATAGATAGAGGTCATCATAAGTCTTAACTTTAAACACGTGTGTGTTTCTTTTTCATGTAGGCGATATTTCGGTGAAAAAATTGGACTCTATTTTGCCTGGTTGGGGTGGTATACTGGAATGCTTATTC